TACAATTTGGAAGATGGATGTCGTAATCCAATTCCAAAATATTTGAAGGTAGGTAAATGACGATTTACCAATTTCCACCATGAAAACCGTAAATGAAGATTAGGTTTTAAATGAATTGAAATTCCTAGATTCTTTTGAGATTCATTGAACTTTTCAATGGCATATTTAAATCTCAATTATGCCCTTCAAGTTTGTGACTGGGATATCGAGGATCACAAACAATGTGTGAATAACCATGCAAATTAGCTTGGTACTCTCGATGTTACAAATCACCCAATCAATGTGTCTGTTAACCACACCCGTTCTATTGATACATGATTAACACCAAGCTACCCTTTAACACACATTGTCAATCCCAAATTAGTGTGTCGGTTAACCACACACGCTCCACTAACGACTTAACAAGGTGCAAAGTGCAATTTCATGGAATAACACCATTTCACATTTTTCCTAAAGTAACTAAGATTGGGAATTTTTAAAAGTTTAGTTACTTTAATAATTTTCATTATACTTATTAATGAGAATTAGTGTCATATCCTACCCATTCGGCTAACGACCCTCTACCAGTCAAGGAAGCAGTGGGTGAGAGTGGACACCCATTAAACCACCATTTTATAGGCAATAACTTTATACGCCCTTATAGACCGACTTCATGAATGAGGCCTACTAACGGTAAGACTGACTTGTCTTATACATATATATATGTATTAAACTTTAATATTATAATAGTATAAGAGTTGAATTTTAAACTTTTAAAACTCTAGGGTTTGGAAGTAAAGTTTCATTAATGTAACTTTTCAAGTTCCAAAACTTGAGGGAAAGTTTTGTAACTTGTCAAGACTTTTGATATTCATAACTTATAAACTTTTATGTTCCATGAATGAGACAATTCCAATTCCAAACTTATGTATGACTTGTGAAACCTTCCAAGACTCTTAGAATTCTATAACTTACACTAGTTAATGGTTTCATAAATAAGGAATTTTCATGTTCCATAACTTGAGGACAAGTTATGGAACTTAATCAAGAACACACATAGATCAAATTAACTAATCCAATTACAATAGGATGACTGTTTACCAACTTGACCTAATATGTTCATGTTACATGATAACATCAAATTTTACAAATAACTAGTATTTACCAAAAATCAAGTAGTTATCTTAGAATTTGACAAACATCATGTTCTTGGATGGGGATTAACATTACCATGTCATTAAAATTAAATTTTATGAACCAAAACAGTTTGTGGCAATGTTCCAAATCCAAAACAAGCCAAAAAAAACTCAAAAATTCTGCTCACAGACAGACCAACTCACGAGTGCACTGATGAACTCGATGAGTTCATCATCATAAGGCACCTACTCGTCGAGTAGGCCTGACAAAATCTATTTTTATAGTTTTTTCATCTTTGAAAATTACACAGTTGCATCAATACAATAGAAAACATCTTAGGCTCTGATACCACTGTTGGGTTTATGTACTCTAACATTCCTATGATGCACATACAACCCTAATGCTTTGGATCTAAGTTTTTTCTAATTATACATGCAATAAACATTTTCCAAAGCATAAAGCCTAAACTAGCATGCAAGGTGATATTTGAATCATAAAAACTAGTTAGAATATTACCTTGTGTAGTAGCTTGAATAACTTGGCCTCAAGAAAGGTTAGCACCCCAAGTGTGATTCCTCAAATGGAATCACAAAACACCAAGAACAATTTAGGATGAATATAGAGATGTTATGGAGACTCTAAAATTGAATCTCACTCTTCAAATACACGTGGTCACCGATTTTGTACCTATATATAGGGATGAGATTTAGAACCGGAAACCCGGACCGGAACCGGAATCGGACCGGAACCGGAACCGGAATCGGACCGGAACCGGAACCGTTAGAACCGGAATATATAAAACCGGTTCCGGTTCTGGGTTTTAAAATTGGCTTTATCCGGGTTCCGGGTAATCCGGGTTTGGGTCCATCGGGTCCGAGTAAAACGGGTCTAAAAACCGGAACCGGTGTTTGGAACCGGAACCACTTTTAGGGCCGGAACCGGTTTTTGTGAAACGTTTAAAAGATGCATATCTGATTCGTTTTAACTCCGATTGACATGCGGTTTTTTCCAACATGTAGTTTAGAGTTTGTACATGTTTTTAGACTATAAATTTGCCATTTTTAGTTTAATATTCATTGACTTACAGTCTCCCAAAGTCGAGATATCAAAGCTGGAAGTTTTTAGTTTTTTTGTTTTTTTGTATTCGGTGAAAGTTTTAAAACATGCATATCTAATTCGTTTGAAGTCGGATTGATATGTGTTTTTTTGCAACTTGTAGTTTACAGTTTGTGCATGAGTTTAGATTTTAATTTTATCATTTTTGGTTTCACATTCAATGATTTACAGTCCTCCAAATTCGGGATATCAAAATTGAAAATTTTCAACTTTTCAGCAATTTATTTTTGTACTTTGTATTATGTGAAAATGTTAACACATGCATATCTCATTCGTTTAAAGTCGGATTGACATGCTGTTTTTTCCAGAGTGTATTTTAGAGTTTGTACATGATTTTAGACTATAATTTTGTTAATTTTAGTTTCTTATTCAATGAGTTACAGTCCCCCAAAGTCGGGATATCAATATGAAAATTTTCAAAGTTTAATCCGCTAAGTAGTAAGTAATTACAAAAAAATTCCGGTTTTTCCGGTTCTAAACCCACTTTATCCGGTTCCAACCTACTCACTTTACTGTTTCCGGGTTTTTCGGTTCTAGACCCACTTTACCCGGAACGGTACCCAGAACCGAACCGGAACCGGTTCCTATATACCGGTCCGGTTTCCGGTTCTACAAAATCCCATTAACCGGTTCCGGGTTTTCCGGGTCTAGGTCCATCCGGTCCGGGTTTTGACCCACTTTCATCCCTACCTATATATATATATATATATATATATATATATATATATATATATATATATATATATATATATATGTGTGTGTGTGTGTGTGTGTGTGTGTGTGTGTGTGTAGAATATCAAGGGTCATGTGTAACCCTAATCCATACACATTAGCCCATGACCCATCCATTTGAATTGGATAAATACTTTATGAATTAATCCATAAGCCCATCAGAAATCAAACCATGGATCTTTAGCCCAACTCATATGTATCATTTTAATTAGTCTCATTTGATCACTAAATTAATTTTTAAATTAATTCTTGATCAATACTGATTAAATAATATGATTCCTCAATTAATATATTATACTTATAATAAATTAATTAATTGTAAATAACCTCTTACTCAAATATCTTTCCTAACATATTGCATTGATGAATGCAACCCAAATGGATCATGCTACCATCAGGTCAAGTACATACAAATTATAGTTATAGGCTTAAACACCTTTTCTAACACTTTCAACCCTTATCATTCATTTACCCATGTTTTACCCAACATATTTTTTAGATATAAAATACATATACGATTTAAATCATTTAAAACATGTATAATATCGTTCATCTAGCATAGATATCAAGTAAAAATATAATATGCACACATAGCACGCAATTTATATAAAATACTTCATATCTATGTGTAAGATGAAAATAACTTTGCACTCACTTGTAAAAGTGATGATTCCAACTTGGACAACGCTTCGCTTCTTAACAATATAATTTCCTCCAACGAAACTTAGTATTATTACCACTAGATTTTAATTTAATATTTATTGCGACTACTTATTAGTGTAGATTCATCATTAACTCAGAGTCTACTTCATGATCTATCAAGTAAGAAACAACCAGGTAGGATCATATCGGAGGTAGGGTCCATTTGGTATACGAAGTATACTTTTTGAAAATTTCACTTTAAACACCTCACTAAATCACAACCTAGACATCATCCCCGTAAGTAGATCAATCAGTATAATGACTTTGAATCAATGATAAATCTTATTTATAGGTTCATAATAACAATATTATATTTAAATATAAGTTATATTTAAAGTAGGGTATGTGTATCTCACTTACAACGGGTTTTACTAAAAACTGGGTTCCGCTAGGGTAGAGCTTTTGAGTCGAAAAGCTCTTTTTCTCAGAGTCTTCAGGTGCTCTGGGGCTTTCCTCTAGCACCTTGAGGTTACTACGAATTTAGAGGGGTTTTGGTAGTCTAGAGATAAATAAATACTTATGGTGTGAAGAAAATATGAAGAATTCATCATTTATTTATAGGGGTTTGATCATAGGGTAGGCCCTAAGTTTCGTCCGTATCTTCCGCATACGAGATCCGTTTTCTACATTCTTTATATCCGTGCGTTGATATTTACGAGTACTACAACTTTCATTTAGACGACGTCGACTAATTCTCATTGTATCTCTGATTTACAAAACTGTATCGAATTTATCGCGCTCGAAGAGTAGGGACTAAGTTCCGTCCATATCTTTAACATACGATCTCTATTATCAACGTTCTTTATATATACAGAACCCTTGTGACATATACTATAACTTGGTTGAGATTATTTATTATAAATAATCTTCCATCAAAAAGTCATTTTTGACGCTTATTGTCTTTAAATTCATTAGCACGAATCTGCGGGGTTTACAGAGGGCAACCTAAAAAAAGACTTTGTTTCTAATTACAAGAATATATCAATTTAGTTACTAGATTAGACACCTTAATCCAACAAAATTTTCTATTGACAAGGGTTGTCATTGGAAGGTAAAGATGAAAAGGGAACGCCTTAGTTTGTTTATCCTCAACTTTTGAGCATCAGATATGTCATTGTTGTTTATCCAAGTTTGATTTTCAAGTTTAAGAAACCCTAACTTCATCGGATTTACCAGTGTGTGTAATTTGAGCTCTAAGTTTATGTGTGTGTGTATGTGATGATTTTTCTAGGTGTATCATTTTTCCAGATCTAATGATGGTGGTATATGAATTTGATTGATGGTGGTGGTTGTGATATATTGGTTAATACAATGGTATTGTTGATATTTGATAGATGGTCCCTGTGTGTTCAAATGTTAGTTTTAGGGCTATTGCAAACCACGCCAGCCCAAATTTCAATTCATCTGCAACCGGAGCATGTTTTATGGTAACGTAAACCAACAGTGATATTTTTTGAATAATTATATATTTATATATTAAAACCTAACATGCCTGTTTGTAAACAGTAAGCTTCCATAGTTTCCGACTTTCACCACGTTACTTTGTACATATTCACTTTTTTGTCCTTCTATTTTTTCATTATCTTAGTGTCCCAATCTAAGATCCCACCGCAATTGTTTTTCAAATTATTTGGACTCCTTTCCTTCTTCATTCCCAACATTCGCCAACAACCTCTATTGCCACCACCGATCGTCCGCCAACAACCTTCGGTGCTCTGTTACTGTTTCGAATTTCGGTATGTTGTATGTTGTTTCAATTTGATTATGATTTTTTGTTCAATTTCTCTTCCTTCTGTTCTTCTCTGTGATGTCTTCGACTCTGTAGGTTTCACGTTTCCAACGATTTCCCGTCCAAAATTTCGGGATTCCGATATCTGTGGCCAACAACTGTTTGAGCTCTATTGTCGCCACCAATCGCCTGTACTCTTGTGCTCTGTTGTTTGGGATTTGGAATTTTGGTATGTTGTATGTTGTTTCATTTTGATTATGATTTTATGTTCAACGATCTTCCTTCTGTTTTTTGTGCGATGGCTCCCGTTTCATGTATAATTCATGTAAAAGAAAAAAAACGAACCTGCAAATTTGGATATTCTGCAAGTTCATACATTGCCCATTCCTATCTATAGCTTAAATTTTATCTAGAAAAAGTTCGACATAACAAAATGAAAATTGTTGCAATTTCATAGATTTGAGAGAGTTACAGAAAAATTGCATTTGCAATACTTTCAACATCCGCTACTAATTTATCTGGAAGTTGCCCAGTTTTACAATTTTGCCTCCAAAATGGTTTTACTTTGATTTTAGTGTCACTTTTTAATGTCCGACTGTCTGTAAGATTAGGGTTCTGAGTAACTGTTTGTATTTTTATTTTGATTTGGTTTTAAGAATCTAAAGGGTTGTTACTGTTTTATTCTTTAAATGCTATTTTTTTGGAATGGGTTTCTCGGTTTTCATATTTCAACCTATTACATATGATTCCTATGAAATCCATAAATTATGCTTTTGTTGTCCTGCTACAAACTAATGAAACTATAACTAGACTCATTGATTTGGGTCTGTTAGAGATGATGAAATTGTGGATCCAATGGTAATGACATTTCTCAATACCTCCAGAATCTACAAGTATTTTCTTAATATGTTTGTGTATTATTAAAAGGTTTGAAAAATCATATGTTTTGTTTTTTGATTGGTTAATAGTGAATTCATGCTGAAAATCAAAATTAAGGTCTAAGTTTCATTTTTCTATATCTATAATATTATTACAAAAACATTTGTTGGCACTGAGATACTAGATGTTAAAATGGGAAGGGTTTTTTTTTTTTTTTTTTTTGGCTTAATGTGCTTAAGAGATACCTTTTTTTTTTTTTTTTTTTGACTTAATTTGTTGAAGGGACTTGAGCTTCAACAAATTAACATGCTACATACCAGACTCTTTATGAGATTCTTAATCTTTGCATTTCATGTAATTTTCTCAATTTTTTTTACATTATAAGATTACAAATCTTCAATTATAACACAATTTTATATAATTTTCAAGTAACTTGGAAGCAATGACTTACAATCGCAAATCTCCAGAACCTCCAAAACAAAAAACACAAACAGTAACATAAAAAAAGACCAAAGTGCCCTTGCATGATAAGTTGATAAGTTTAAACCAGAACAACCTAGAACCTTTTATAAACCCCTTATTCCTTCTCTTTTTGTATTTTTTCCGAATAGACCCAAAAACTCCTTTAGTTAGATCCTCCCTTCTCCTTTTATCAATCTTTTACGATCAACCCCAACCTAAAGAATGAAAAATAATCCCATAAAAATCCAAACCAACAAAACCTTATGACGCCATATCTATCGAGTGTCCAAGAAGTCCAAATCAAACTCGTAGAAGGTGTAAGGCTGGTAGGTGTGGGTAACACCCACACCGATGTTTTTGAGAAAAAGAAGAAAAACGACGTCAATTGAAGGTGGTGGTGGTAAGGGGAAGCAACACGTAGGCGTATAACGCCCAATAATGGAGAAGGCGGCGGTTTTTATGCGTTATAACGCCCAAAAACACCCCGGTGGGCGTTGACCATACCCAACTGTCTAATACAAAAAGAACTGAAAATCACTTTTCTTCTTTTCGTGCACCAGAAGCACCTTTTAATTATTTGAATAAGCTTATCACAATAATTCATTTGCCAACCTGTAATATGAACCATCATCTATCCTGACAACACGTAGCCTTTTCTTTTTGATTAAAAAAAACCCAAATATAGCATCGTACTCTCAAGAGTACCTTCATATAACATTCCGTTTTCAATTTTTTCCACGTAAATCTAGCAAATATAGCATTTTACTTTAATTTTTTTTTAAACTACACCGACATAGAATTGCATATAGCATTGTACATTGATTTTATTACTGCTTTGTATAGGAATTATAGACAACACTGTACTTTTTGTTTGTTTCTTATTAAACAATGTACTTTGAAAGACTACCAAATTATATCATTGTATTTCCAATTTTATTTCTTATTAGAATATTAGATCTCAGTTGAATTCATGAATCATTCTACTACGAACCAACTTTCAAACTATTACCATGTGCCTAATCTGCTGGTGCTTAATTTTTTACTTTTTGAAGGTTTTTAGGTGTTTTGATTTACATCCTTCAAATCGATCACCCTTTCCATTGATGATTGTCCAAAAAATCGGAATCTAGTAACATATGTTTCCCTAATTTACATGGTGTTTTGATTTACATCATTGAAAATGCTGACTTAACCATGATGTTAATATACTTAGAAAGGTAACTTATAGTGAAGATTACTTCATTTACCAACAGCAAATTAAATACTACAACATTTAATACGGACCTAATGACAAAGCCCGTCTCACAATAGAAAAAAACCAACAAAAAAGTGACCCGTGGTTCACCACGGCTCACTCACTAGTTTTTTGATAAATGGTATCGCTAAACCTACATTGATACCTTTTGAACAAATTATAAGATTATCGAAAATTAAGCTAAGCTAAAGTTAAGAGGACAGACATTGCTTCTTTTAAACCAAATGGGCATGCAAATGGAAAGCTTGGTAGCTATTAGTAATCCAGTTTATACCTCCGTGTAGTGATGATCAAGTTTGCTGTTTTGGTTTAGAGAAAAAGGGATCCCATTCATGAACATCCACAGTCTCCTCCTCCTCATCTTCTTCTAACAACGCATATTTCCAACTAAGTTCTTCAATAAAACCACCATTATTCCTCCTCCCAGCAACCAAATCCCTTCTCAATTTCGTCACCTTGTTGATAACCGCTTCCACAGATACATCGAATGCGTCTTTTAAACTCTCCAATCTGGAACGAGGATCTGCATATATCAACCTCGGAATCAAATCCACCACCTCCTTCCTCATCATCTTTACAGTTTCGGAATCGATTTGACCTAACCGCTGTTCAATGCTGATATTCCGGCGAATATCGTCTTCCGGGATAAAAATGGAATATTTTGTATACTTTTTCGGGAGATGCCACGTGTACTGCGTGTAAAACGAAGCGGGATGAAAGAAAACCGGGATACAACCCGCCAAAATCGAATCGAAAGCTGATCTTCGTGTATACGAATCGCCAGGTGGTTGTAAGCAGAAAACTGAACGTTGAAACATTTTCATTATATTACTTGGGGAATGACACTTGCTTTCATCATTTCCACATTCTAAAAGCTTCCCGGAGTTTGAATTCTTGCATTGATCGATTAAAAGACTTCGAATTGATTTCGGGTTACCTGGACGTGGAGCTCCGGCGAAACAGAACAGCCATTTCCGGTCAAGTTTCATCATCCGGTTTTGCCAAGTGAAAACATCGGAGTCTTTTGATGGATGGAAGTAAGTAGGGTATGGAATGGCGAAATCGTTTGAATTAAATGGACTTGATTCTATGAGAAGAACTGACATGTTCTTGGAAGCTGGTAAGAATAAGAACTTGTTTCCCCAATCGGTGTAGTTGTTGCTTAATCTCCTGAAATCCCAAGTGATTCTTCCTCCGACGAGAAAATGATCTTTTCCGTTCATCACTTTCCATTCATCTCTATTCTGCAACCAATCAACAAGATCAAGCGACGCGGCATCCCTTACGGATGTGTTATACCCCCAAAGATATCTCGAAGCATCAAACCCTGCGTAAAATGGGACGAAAATGGCTGCTGCCATTGACGAATCGTTGGTCAAGCATTTGTATTGTTTCATTCGGTTTCTGAAGATGACGTCGAGGGTGAACTGATTGGTGGCGTACCATCCATTATCGGAAAACACACCTAATTCAGTATTCTGTAATGGTGGTCCAACCCCAGAATTTTTAGTGAACTTACACATATCGAAGCATCTGTTAATGCTACCACATTCCTTGACAGATCATGAACATAAACGTACCTTCCACCACAGGGGTCACTCTTATTGTCTATGGTTCTTAATGTTTTCATAAATGGGAAAACCTTTGGGGTTTTGGATGGAGAAACAGCCGATTCGGATTCGACATTCTCTGGTTCGTGACTAACAACAGGTATAGGTATAGATTCTTGAATCCTAGATTGGTTTGAGGTGGGACTGATTTGAAGACTGCTGCTCCAGAAAGTTCTACCTTGGAAAACCCCGAAAGGAGAGTATAATAAGCAAAACCAAAAGAGAGCACAAAGTAATCCAAATACACACATTATACTAGATTGTTGGAACACATGGCTGCTGCCCTTCGCCATGGATGCTATTGCTGGCTTGTGAATGGCGTCTAGTTAGATTTCAAAAAAAAAAAAAACAAATCACTGAAAATCTATAGGTGATGAATGTAAATCAAACGGTTAACTAGTTTCGCTAAATCAAGAAACTATTGATATACAACCATAGTAAAACTGGATCGATTAACGCTTCAAATTCAGTTATGATTCTAACTTGACTAAATTGACTGAATAGGATTATTGAGAGAGAGAGAGAGAGAGAGAGAGAGAGAGAGAGAGAGAGTGCTGGCGATGAGGAGGTAATAGATTATTCTGTGAATAATGGATTAGTCGAAGGACCAAGGATGAAGACGAAGCTTAAGTTAGCGTCATTAGCGCATAATATTGTATTATTGTATTGGACGGATATGGCATGATGGCAGATGGTGTTTTACTACTTTTTACAAAAGCAATGTGGGTAGCCTCTAACCATGTGCCGCGTGGAGGGTTATTTCCGCTAATCATTCCTATGGTCAAATAAGTTCTCCCCGCATATTCTGCCATCAAAACGCCAAAACTATATTGGAATGTCTTGTACATGGAATTTATTAATATAATTAAAATATTAATACATATTTTGATATTAAAACTAGAAAAATTCATAGAAGAATCCATCTTATTATATTTTTATATTAGGTTAATATATATTAAAAACTACGGTTATACAATGATAATTAAATTAATGAAAATTCAACTCATTATGTAAAAAAATGAAAATTCCACTCATTATGTAATAAAACTACGATTGAAAAAAATATATATTATGGATAATTTAAAATCGTAATGACTAATCAAAAATTTATTAATTTATAAATATCAAAGTTTTGTTTGTAAGTATATAAACTAATGAAAATTAATATATATATATATATATATATATATATATATATATATATATATATATATATATATATTGAATATCCAATGGTAAGTTTTTGTATGTATAGATGACTTTTTGATGCTGATGTGGCCAACTCTATATGTTATTAAGTTAAGTTAGGGTTTAAGGGCCCATTTTCTAAAGGATCTCATTTAACCTAAGTACCACGATGTCGATACTTCTCTTCTCCAACTTCATTTGTTGATTACTGATACGCACGTCTCCTCAAAACTCAAAAGCGACAATCTGACGTTTGTTCTTCTTCCTTTCTTCTCCATTCTCAATGTCGTCGAATGACTTATTATCAATTTAGGCTTCTCAAATCTCGGTTCTTGGACAATGAAAAGCTACATGAACTGTTAATTGTCGAAATACCTTCATTGTTCTTCTTCCTTTTCTATTCTTGGATTTGTGATGAATTTCTTTGATTCTCCATTGTTGAAAAATCTTTGATGATTCATTCAATTGATTCAAGGTATGTGTAGTCAGTGTTTTCACTTGATTTTTCCATTATTTGATTATCTATTAGACTTGATTTTTACCATTATCTGATTTTCCATTATTCTTTGTTCATTGATTAATACTTGATTTCTTTGTTTCTATTTGATTTTTGTTTTTTAGTTAGTATTTCCACTCAATTTTTGCGTTGTTGGCTTGCTACTTGATTTTTATGTTTCCCTTTTTAATTATAATATGATGCAACCTGAGTTCTTTTATTTTTTACATCACACCTAAGCACTAGAGCTAAGAAATGTTGGTTATTGATTGATTTCTATGTGGCTTGTTCATTGATTTATGTATTGAGTTGTGTATAGATTTGAATTAAAATAATCCTGTAAGTTTGAGTTACTTTAAATTATAGATAAGTTCTCCTTTTAATTAAAACACTACAAGTTTAAATATATTAATCCATAATTTATTACTTCAAGTTTAGTGTTTGTTCATTACTAATTGTATCGGCGATTGTTCATTGTTGTTATAAATAATTAATAACTCTTTCTAAGAGAAAATACACATCATGGACTTTAAAAAAGAAAAGGAAAATGCAACTAGTAAAGGTCAAAGGGTCCAAAACTTTTAGTTCGTTTAGAGCCCCCAAACTGGTTAAACCGTTCCTGCTGCTGTGTTTATTTCTTTTCCCATGTACATACTTATTTTCAATTTTCCACTCATAATCCTTTTACTTCATCATCAAAAATCACTAAGATCATAAATAATTAGATCGGAACTACCCTCATATTTGGTTTAATAAATCTATTATAACAACAAATATTGATTATACTACTTGATTGTGTATGTAAATATTTGAAGTCATATCTCGTCATGTTGTTAGAGTTGATAGACTATTGGACTACAATAAGCAAATAATTACATGGAGAGGGGCATGTGGGAGTGGGACAAGACAAGACTGTATAACTTGTTCAAGAATTAGATTTTTGGTCAGGAATGCATAGCGAGATCGAGAAGTTTGTGCAAGAGTGTTGCATTTGTTAAATGTCGAAGCATACGACTACGAATATCGAATTATACACACCGTTACCCGTGCCGACCAAACCATGGGTTGACATCGGTGTGGACTTTGTAGTGGTTTGCCCAGCACACAACACGGTAACGACTCAACCTTCATTATGGTTGACCACTCCTCAAAAATGGTGCATTTTATACCATGTAAGAAGACGACAAATGATGTTAATGTTGTCCAACTTTTCTTTCGTGACATTTATGGCCTCCACGGACTTCCTACTTCAATTCTATCAGATTGTGACACACGGTTCCTTAGTCACTTTTGGTGTACTCTATGGAAAATGGTAAATACAAAACTCAATTTTAGTAGCACCTACCACCCACAAACGGATGGCCAGACCGAAGTTGTTAATGGCTCTCCGGGAAATCTTCTTTGTTATCTAGTTGGTGATCACCCAAAGAGTTGGGATTACCAATTGAGCCAAGCTGAGTTTGCCCATAACCAAATTACCAACCGTAGCACCATATTCAGCCCTTTCCTGGTCGTGTACTTCGCTCAACCACAGGGACTGTTATTTCCGAGCACCACAAATGATGAAGGGAGAGCTATTGCTTTTGTTGAAGGACTGCTTGATACCCACAAGGCTGTGTATGACAACCTAACTACTGTTAATGCCAAGTACAAGTTCGATGCTGACAAAAAACGTCGTCACATTGAGTTCGAAAATCTGAGATTTTTTCGGGGCCATACTTACCAAGGACCGTTTCTCTGCTGGCCATTACAACATACTTAAGTCAAAGAAGATTGGACTTGTAGAAGTCATTAAAAAGATAAACCCCAAAGCTTACTGCCTCAAACTCCCAAGTCACGTTCATATTGCTGATGCAGTCAATATCAAACACCTTATTCGTTTCTCTAATGACGATCCGGACCAGACTTCGAGGGCGAATTCTTTCCACCCCAAGGGAATGATGTGAGTCGAGACTTGGAGGAAAAGGCTCTAGCTTTTTTGGATCGATTTAATGAGCTACATGTTTAAGTTTGTTGGTTGATTATCCATTTTTTATTCTTATTTTGACCTGAGTTTGTGTTTGACTTTAGGTTTTTGTTTCTTGTTTAAAGGGGTGTTTGAGTTATCTTTTGAGAGGCTAAAAGTTCTTTTAGAAAAAGATAAAAAGTAAAAGATGTTTGGTATAAACATTTTAAAAGTTACTTTTGGATTTTGAATATAAGGAAAACTGAATTTTTGGAAAAGTCGGGAAAACCTGGTTTTTTGCAACTTTTGCTAAAAAAAACTTTTGTTTCTCAAAAAGATAAGTCAACCCCCCTCCCCCCCCCCCCCCCCCCGCCCCCACCTCCACCAAAAAAAAAAACAAAAAAAAAAAAACTCATTGTTCTGACAAAAGGATCAGTTTTTGGAGAAAAAAAAAATTGTTCCCAATTTGTTCCGATACCTAATTCTCTGTAGGATTTTGTATTGTTGCCTCAATCCGGTATTTACGTAATTGAGAATCAACGGATTTGAAAGAGTCACATTTGGTATTAGTGTGTGAATCAACATTGTGATTGTTTTATCAAGTTATGGGTTTCCTACTCAATTTCCCTAATAATTATAATGAATTGATGTTATATGTAAATTTCATTTAAAAAAATCAACAACTACTAATAAAGGATTATATAAATTCTAAGAGAAACAAGTGTAAACCTAATTAAGATCATGTTTGCTGTTTTGGTTTAGAGAAAAAGGGATCCCATTCATGAACATCCACAGTCTCCTCCTCCTCATCTTCTTCTAACAACGCATATTTCCAACTAAGTTCTTCAATAAAACCACCATTATTCCTCCTCCCAGCAACCAAATCCCTTCTCAATTTCGTCACCTTGTTGATAACCGCTTCCACAGATACATCGAATGCGTCTTTTAAACTCTCCAATCTGGAACGAGGATCTGCATATATCAACCTCGGAATCAAATCCACCACCTCCTTCCTCATCATCTTTACAGTTTCGGAATCGATTTGACCTAACCGCTGTTCAATGCTGATATTCCGGCGAATATCGTCTTCCGGGATAAAAATGGAATATTTTGTATACTTTTTCGGGAGATGCCACGTGTACTGCGTGTAAAACGAAGCGGGATGAAAGAAAACCGGGATACAACCCGCCAAAATCGAATCGAAAGCTGATCTTCGTGTATACGAATCGCCAGGTGGTTGTAAGCAGAAAACTGAACGTTGAAACATTTTCATTATATTACTTGGGGAATGACACTTGCTTTCATCATTTCCACATTCTAAAAGCTTCCCGGAGTTTGAATTCTTGCATTGATCGATTAAAAGACTTCGAATTGATTTCGGGTTACCTGGACGTGGAGCTCCGGCGAAACAGAACAGCCATTTCCGGTCAAGTTTCATCATCCGGTTTTGCCAAGTGAAAACATCGGAGTCTTTTGATGGATGGAAGTAAGTAGGGTATGGAATGGCGAAATCGTTTGAATTAAATGGACTTGATTCTATGAGAAGAACTGACATGTTCTTGGAAGCTGGTAAGAATAAGAACTTGTTTCCCCAATCGGTGTCGTTGTTGCTTAATCTCCTGAAATCCCAAGTGATTCTTCCTCCGACGAGAAAATGATCTTTT